ACAAATGTGGGGAGACACATTATTTGTTTCCTTTCTTTATCCTTGGGGTTTTTTATACATATTGAATTGCTTTAATTAGTATTTGAGTCTCTAGTCATCTCATAATCCCATCTTGCCATTTGTGGCCACACAGCCCTGACCTGCAGCTGCTGTTGCTGTGACCCCACCATGAACAGGCTGGCTCTGTCTTATGCTGGAATCCTGTTCCATGAGGGGCTTCCACGACCAGCCAAATTCTGTGGTACTTCTTTTGCCACATGGCATCTTTATTTGTGAAGTTATTTTTCTTGAAGGGACCCTCTACGTTTTTTTCCTCTGGGCATTCTTAGAATTAGTTGTGAACAGTTGGAAGGAGAAAAAAACCTGCAAACCTTAATAAAAATAAGGAAAGGTGAGCAGAAATGTTTCAGAGATTAATAAAATCCTGGGGGATTCTGGAAGGGTATTGGAATTGGGTCATTTCTAAGGTTGAAAGAGTGAGCTAGAGAGAACCAGGGTGGGCATCTCAGAGGATTTTCTTTTTCTGACTTCAGTTGTGACAAACAGGGCTGGCTTTATCACACGATTATGGGGAATTTTTGCTTAGAATCTGAATTCCAGCAGCTCAGTGTGGCCCAGTGCAGTCTGTGAGAGCACTGATTTGAGCTCTGAGTAGTCATTTCTGACACTGCTCCTCCCAGGCATTTTGTGTCCCTTTGGTTCCCAGGGCACGTTTGTCTCCATTTCCAAAGGCTGCTGCTGCTCCCTGTGTGACCTTTGCTGGGCAGACCCTCCCCACACCAGCTGTGTTTCTGTTTACCCCTTTCAGGAGCTTGATGACACCTCTTGTGTCACCACAGGCAGCTTCAAGGCCCGTTTATAATGTAAGTCAGTGCTGCTTAAAGAGAAAATCTTACATGGTGCTACGTTACCATTTGCTAATTTAATGGGAGTTCCCAAGGAAAGTCTCTCAAATTGTTCTGTCTTTAAAAGAGATGTATCTGTAGCATTAAGTAAATGGTAAATACATTATTACTATTCAGATGTTAGAGTGAAAGAACTAATTTATTACTTTAATTAGTTTGTAGTGTACTTTACATTATTGTAATATGCAATATTGAAATAATGAACTGAAAATAGGTGTGTACACATTCTGTTCAGCACAGCAATTTAATAATTCACTTGGCAAAAGCTCCTCTAATAATACATGAACTGTGAAATGTACTTGAAATGCCAGTTGTAATTAAAAACTTTCAGAACTTAATGTTGGCAGTACTTGTACTGCTAAAATGTGAGCTGCTTTGTGGAGCAGGCATTGGGGGAGCCAGGTTTCAGTGTATTTTCAATATTAGCTTAACTACTAGGATTTTTTTAATATTTAAATAAAACATTTACTGTTGACACAGTAAAATCTACCCTTCTGATTTTGCACTCACAGGAATGAAAGAATGCAATCAGGAACACATTAATTTTTGTGTGCAGTCTGTGCTCCCAGATTGCTGCTGCAGTCAAGCTGAAAAGCTGGCTGAATGCAGTGGGCTTTCTTGGCAAGCTTCAATTGTAGGGATGCTGGCAATTCAGCATCAGGTGGTCACTTCTGAACAGCACAGCCATGAAAGCACGGAGGAGATTCCTCAGCTATTCCACTCCCTTCCCTGGTGGAGATTCCTCAGCTATTCTCCCTTCCTTGGTGGCGATTCCTCAGGTATTCTCCTCCCTTCCCTGCTGGCCCCGGGCTCTGTGGGCTGGGATGTGCCCGGCTCCCCCTGCCACTGAGGGACTGCCCTACAACTGCTCTCTGGCACGGAGGCCTTTAATGTTCCAGTGTGCTTTAATAAGTGAAGTATACTGGCATTTGAATCAGCTGGTTAATGTCTCATTTTTGTTATTTCTTACACTTCATTGTAGCTCAGTTTTACGAACATTTTATCCAATATGACTTTAATTCTTCATGTGGGACAAACCATGGCATAAGGCCAACCTGCTGAATCCCATTTTATACATATTTTGTAAATACTGTTTTTCTGGTTTTTGCTAACTTTTCCCTTTTTTTTCCCCTCTTTTTTCCTCTTTTTTTTTTTTTTTGGTGCAATTATGAATTATTTGTAAAGGAGGTGAATTGTCTTTGTCTTAATGAAAAGACATGGATTAGATAAACATGGGGAGGGGACAGGGGTAATCTAAACTAACTTCACGTGCTGCCTACAGAAAATAATAACACTGGGTATGGTGAGCAAATATGATCTAGTTACACTTAGTTACACTCTCCTTTGGCATTCTCATTGCCCATTTTCCTGGTTGGCAATGGGCTCATACATTCAAAAACCTAACTAGATAAAGACAGAAAGCAGATTGTACCCCCTGAATGTGTGTGAGTGATTTAGGGCAGAGCAGGGGGTATTGTAGGAGTGGAGATACACCCCGAGTCACTGGCTTATCTGTTCTGTCTGGGGAACCCCATCGGATGATTAGTGCTTTGTAAGCTGAGGGAAGTTCTGGATTTGATGCTTGGTTATGCTCATTTGTTCATATGAAACCTGTCAAAAATGTAGATTGTGCCCCAATATTGATTTCTGACTGGAATCAAAAGGCTGTAATGGAAGAGCTATGTGGAAACAACGGGGGAAGGTGATCACAGCCCGGCACCAGATTGGGGTGTAACATTGCCAAGCAAACCACTGCTGATCAGAATGAATTAAAAAGGAGGCTTGAGGTGATTTCAGACTGAACTAGTACCTATATCTGCTCTCTGCTTCACTGGGGTTTGATTCCTTCAGTCAGTTGTTGTCCCAGACTCTGCTGGGCCCACCCTGTTCTCCACACCCATTTCCAGGCAGTGGTTCCCCTGCAGTGTCAGGGAACTGGAGCTTTCATTGAGACCAGTTTAATGGCCTCAATGAGGCCAACGATTGCAGTGCTAATGACTGCAATCAAACAATCAAAAAAATCCCTGGTTAATAGGTAAATTAATATCCAGAGAAGACCAATAAAGGATCAGAAGAGTTCTCAGACGTGGAGAGAACTGAAGCTGCATCATGTACTGAACCCAGTGGCATTGATCCCAGTATTGGAGAGAGTGTTTGAAAGGAGTGTGAAGCAGGATGTAGCAAAATCCAAGCTTACAAAAAGCAATTTTTTTGTTACATAATCTGATTGTTACCGCATTTCTGTTCAGAAAATCTCAGTGGTGTTATTACAGACGTTTAAAGCTCCTTCCAATGCTTCTGCAGCTTATCCCAGCTCCAATCTGAGTATGCTTTTAGCAGATTTCATTCACTGTTTGCTTGTTGTTAGATTGTAAAGCTTCCTGCATATGGTTTTGCTTTGATCTGTTTCAAAAGCCAGGTAGAAAGGATTGCATGTTCTTGTAACTCATTTTTAAAGCGTTCCTTGTTGAGTTCATTAGTGTGGCAAGTGAAGGGTAACTGAAACAATTTAGCATTTTATTTTAGATTCTTAAAGTGCTAAACTGCGTGAGCAGAATGCTGGCAAAATTGCTACATGAAGATTTGTATTTAAGCAGCTGTTGTGCTACAAGTTTCAAGTGTGAGGGAGGTTTAATTTGGGTGTTGCAGCTGAGGCTGGAGGGACCTCTCCAGGGGCCACCCTCTGCCCAGGCAGGGTCAGGTACAGCTGGTGCCCCAGGATCCTGCTGAATCCTGCAAGGGATGGAGGCTCCATAACCTCCCTGGCCAGCATGTTCTAGTGTCCATCCACCCTCTCAGGAGGGAAGTGATGGATGACATGGAATTTCAGGAGTTTCAGTCTCTGCCTGTTGTTTCCCATCCTGGGCACATCTGGTTCCATCCTCCCCACGCTCTTCATTTTTGGGTTGTTTTCTTATTATTACTTTGCTTGCCCTCCATGAGAAGTCACATCACTGATCAGTGTACTGCAAAGAGCAAAGTATACTTGTTATTTTAGCAAGAACTGGGGCAAGCACGGCATCACTAAGATGTAACTCACTGAGAACCTTGGACCACGGGGAGCTCTGGATTTCTGAACAGAACATCTTTCATAAGCACAAAACAGAAGAATTAATAGTCTGTGCACACAGCCAGTGGAATGCAGTAAAGGTAGAAAAAATTGAAAGCATTTTAATATCTTAGTATTAAAGTGCTCACTGTAGTGTAGAAAACCAGCTGAAAAATGGCTCCAGTGCTTGTTCCTTAGAGGAATGCAGAGTTCTGTTAGCTCTTGACAAATCCATTACAAAAAGAGCTGGCAAGCCAACAAAAAGGAGACATCATTAATCCTGTTGAAACCAGTGTGAAACAGATGAGCACACAAGTGCTCCTGACAGCACCGAGGAAATCGGGCCCCTCCTGGCTGGGAATGGGGTGTCTTCTTTAGCTCCCAGTCTGCCAGGGTCATGGCAGGAGTGCATTTTGGGCAGGTTGAGCTGGGTGGTCTGTCCCGTCTCCAGGATGTTTGGTTAGGAAGCAGGGCAGGCTCTGCACTGAGGGGTGTGTGGGAGCTGGGCCCTGGCCTGCTCTGCCAGGCAGCTGCTGCCTCTCTTCCCCCAGAGGAGGGGATGTGGTGTGTGCAGGACCCCTGGGAGGGGGCAGGGGTGCCAGGCTGCTCTGCACTGGCAGAATTGAGGGCCCTGTCGTGTTGTGAGTGCCGGGGGAGTGCGGAGCTGTCACGGCAGTGCCGGTGCTGGGGGCTGGGAGCAACTCTCCATCTCCATCCCTTCACAGGTTCCTTAAGGAACATGCATGTCATTGAAAGCCTAAGTGCTGAGGGGGAATTCGAGATCTAAATTACTGAGGTGGTTTTAGCAACTTTACCTAAAATCTCTTTCTATGTGATTTTATTGCGTCTTATGGCAGCCAGTAGCAAACTGCACGTGAACATGTGGAGAGGTGGTGCTTGCTAAATGATTGTGTTGCTGGTAAGATTATAAATCTTACTTTGTAAATGGATTACATGGGTTTCCTTCCCAGTCTCAGCTTGGCAGGATCACAGTCACAGAGTTACACAGTCTGCTGCAGGACTGTCTCTTCAACCGTTTCTTCCAGGTTCTACAGTGGAAAGCACAGCAGGAAGAAGCTGCTAAACTAGAAGCTGCTGTAGCTGCCAGAAGAAAAGAAAAGGAAGATGAGAGAAAAAGGCTACAGAGAGAACAGGAAACCAGTCGCAGAGCTCAGGAGAAAGAGAAAGTATGAGAAACTTTTATACATTTTTGCATATGTTAATGTGTACAATTGCTCCTGTAATCTTTAACTGATTTCATACCACTTGTATTAAGTATTGGTATAGAGAAGGGCTAATGGTCACTTGGGTCTTGCTCCAGTCCATTTTAGCTCTAAAGCTGCCTGCTCTGACACACCAGTTGTGTTACTTCATTGCCTGTCTTTACAAAAAGCCTGTCCAAGTGAGTGTGTGACTGTGGCCATGTCACAAACCAGCCCAGGGGCACGGCTGGGTCTGACTGCCCAGATTTGGGTCTGACTGCCCAGATTTGGGTCT